TCACTCATAAAGACGACCGCCAGCATCAACACCATCCTTACCTTGCAGTATGATGGAAGTGTGATGTTGAGATTGCATATAGCGTTTTGTGCAAGTGACCTGTAGTTCCTCGGCTCTTTCATAAATGACAAGCGGCCACACGGCTCCTGAGTGTTGTCTCTGATCTGCCAAAGCCAAGCGGGTCAACGTTAGCCAGCTGCTCGTTGCTAAACCGACTCCATGTTGTACGAAGAAAGAACATGAAAATACAATGATCTGCGGCAACGCTTAGAAGAAACAAACGATGACTCACTTTGATGAAGAGTGCTAATCGGTTCTCCTTAAAGGCGTAAAAGCTGAAGAGGTGATGTTGGCCGCTTTTCGTGAGGGGAACGAGGTTACCAAAGCAGTCTGCATAGATAGGTTTGCCTTCCAGGACCTAGTGAATGTGACACATGCATACATGATGGGATAATCTGGATTTTCCAGCCCCATTTATGACATCTCACATGTTTACATCCTTTAGATATTTCTTCTCAGACTAGAGTCGACCGCTCAAAGGTTTCATTGGGGTTTCAGGTCATTCCCGAACTCTTTCTTGTATAACTTGGTGTTAGACTCTCCTTTCTCACCTCTACGTCTCGGCTGCGCGCCACCTCGGTGAAGTTCTCCTGCTGTTCCAGCGTTTTATCAATCTTGTCATCGGTCATACAAAAGCAGCGCAATCGCGCCTCGATCGGGTCGTGGGTCTTGGCGAAGATGACGAACTTGGCCATGTAAGGGACACAGATGATCTCCCGATACACCTGAGTGGAGAAGTTGACCGATTCCTGGACTTGCCGACAGTCTATGAGCCAGAACCTAGAAAAGAGAAGAGGGTTAGGAGCGAGCTGGTGTATCCACGAACAGATGTTTGGTCCAGCTGTTTTACCTGGCAGACACGTTGGTGGTGAAGGACACACAGTCATTAATAAAGGTTAACGGAGTCGTTCCTGTTATATCCTCCCACTGGGCTGGCGTTGTTCCACCTGCATGACATGAAACGTTAGAATGTGGAGACGCGTCTCAGCTTAACCGTTAACATTTGAACTTTTCTAACCGGTGATGCTACAGAGCAATCGTAGGGTGGGCGTGTCCCCTCCAAAGCCGTTGAGGACGGGGTCGGAGTTGCTCTTGGGGACAGGGATCGTCATGGTGATGGGTTTATGAAACTTCCTCCTGCGCGGCTCCAGAGTGACGATGGGACTGAAGCTGGCCTTATTGCCCAGGATCTTCCTCACGACATCTGTGCTCACTGGCTGGGCCTGCGAGACAAGAGGGAAGGCTGGCTGTAACTGCACGCACATGTGCTAATAATAACGACAGCACAAACAGAGGATACATGGAAGCTAACCACAGACTCGCTGTTTACCTGCAGTCCAACCCTGATCCTCTTGGTCAGCGCCCCCTCAGGGAAAACCGCCTGAACTTGCGGTACAACTGTGCTGCTGAGGATGCCTCCCTCAGGACCAATCAGATTGCTGTCCTGCTTGATGCGTGACACCACAGCAAAGTATTGTGGGAAATCTCTAGTGATGATACGGCAAATGCGTTTCCTCTCCAGCTCCTCAGGAGTGTCCAGTTCTGCAGAAGGTGAGACAGAAAAGACGTCATCAGGCCGTTAACGTTTGACGGCGGCGGCGTCAGCCCGTGTCGGAGACTGACCCTCGTCCATGCCGTTGAGTATCTGGTTGAGCTCCTCTTGAGTGTGTTCACAGTGATGCTCCTTCCAGCTCTCTCCTGTTTCGCTCCGCAGAATCACCAGCTCGCGCTCCTTCCCTCGGAGGGCGGCGAAGTGAGGGATCTCCACGATGACAGGACTGGAGGGACAAGACACGCTGGGTAAGTCCAAGTAAAACGTGGTGTGATGGAATATAACAGGTAAGAGTGCATGTGTGCATGAGGTAAGTCTGTTCTTTGACTTCATCTTTGTGTCTGGATACGAGCCCGACTGTACCTGTTCAGACACAGAGGGCATCGCTCCTCCTGCTCTTCACTGCTGTGTGAATTACATTTTATTTTTCCTGCAGCTGATGTGTTGACACGTGGTGATAAAGACCAAACATGTAGAGCTGTGCTGCATAAATGCACCAGCAAATTTAAGGTTGATTTTAGGTTGATTTATGATCAGTGTATTTGTAATAGTTAGGAAACGTCACTCTGAGACTTACCTGATGAGCACAATCACAAACTAGTTACAACGTGTATCTACGAGAAGCGTCCTGCAGGCCAACATCGGGACAAACACACATTTATGTGATATTTATATGGTTACCTGGCCTGACAGTGTTTGTTTATTACACTCTAAATACTGTTGATGTTTTTACTTCGACCACTCTGACAAAAGGCAGAAACACATCAATTTAAAATATACTGAAAAGCCCAAATATTGGTGAAAACATCAACATGTGCCGATGACTGAAGTGTGCACTCATATTCTCCTGCTTCCCTTCGACTTACAGGCCACACAACCATGTAAATTTCACACATACGTGAGACACAAACCTTCCCCCGAGGATGAAGAAAGAAAAGGGAAACGGCGAAGCAGGAAGGAAGTGACAAGCAGTGGGAGGCGTGGACACTGAATGAAGTGGATTATGCAGCATCAGCACAAACACGACAGCACAGTAACAAAGAAACTGGCATCCATGGATCGTTTCATATGCAAAACCACAGACTGGTTTCCACCCTACCCAAGAAATCTGGTCCCCGGTGGACCGAGCTGGAGGATTCGGGTAACCAAACTCTCTCCCTCGTTTAGAGGTGGGGGGGCACTGGGGAGGTGGAGTTTACTGATTGAGCGAGCGTCCGTATGCAGCAGTGAGGAAGAAAGAGCACACACAATGTTTGGGTTGAGCGCCGATTTTCTCTTGGCTGCACAGTGAGGACGTCCAATAAGAGACGAATAAATGACAAATAAAAACATACATTTACCCCAAAACTGCTTATATTTGTACTCAAGTCGGTCTTTTCATAATAAAGAAGACCGACTTTGTAGTTCTTTACATAACAAACACTGTGTTGGTCACTGAAGACGTCCTCTGATAAAGCAAGTTTGAATCTGTTAGACTATTATTTTCTATTTTTATTCAAATTAAATCTGTTCATTTGAAATGAGCTCATCATTGTGTGGGGCTAGTTTCACTGCAGAGCTGCAGAAACATTTCACATCACAGCAAAAACTTCTGTCGTCTGCAGCAAATCTGTAACTGTGATCTCAAACACTACCAGCAGAGGGCAGAGTTTCATTCCACATATCAAACCAATCATGGTGCGAGACACTGCAGCTGGAGTTAATAAGAAAAGCTGTTTCATCAAGTGTTAGGGAGAAAGGTTAGAAAGAGTCGCACTGCAGCTGTTATGAAAGTAAACAGGCCATGCTGGCAGATCGCTGGCACTGAAGCGAGAGCAAATACAGAGACAGTCTGAGTCAGGCAGAGGCTGGCAAATTAATCTGAAAGAAAAGGGCAGCACTTTGTAACCTTTGCATTTATACGGGAGTCAAATTAATAACAGGATAGATGTTCAAAGAAAAGAAGCACTTTTGTCCTGCCTGGAAACTTATTGCCATAAAATATTCAAGACTTTGCAAAATACTTCAAAGCTACTAGCAAATAATTAACCTCCATACATCCAGAAGCTTCTACCATCATTAGTCCTGTCTTACCCAAGGAACTGGGCTCCAGAGGGTCCCACCTCAATGAGCCTGCTGGCCAGACCCTCCCCCTCAACCATGGGGGGCATGGTGGCCAGACGGTGCCTCTTCACCAGTCGGCACGTCACTCTCGTTGGGGCGCTGCACTTCCTCGGCGGGATGATGATGCGGAGGCCGTTGTGTCGACAGCCGCGCATGGCTCCGCCCCTGGCATCTACCATGAAGCTGACCAGGAAGCTGAGAGGAAGCAGGAGATGCATGCACAAATGAGACGCCAATATT